GGCGCACGGGCGTCGCGGGGAGTTGGTTTCCACGGTGGTGGAATTGGAGTGGAGGAGAAAGTGGTGACGGAAACGAGGCTCTGCATTGTGATGCGAGCGTCGCCATGAGAGCCACGAGGAGGGTGACGGCCGCCCTCAACCGCATGGTCTCTCTGCAAGCCATGAATCGTGGACGCGTTGCAGGAGGCGGGGGGTGCGTGCTCTCCAAAGCAGCCCTTCGTTCCCTTTATATCGTGGTTTCCCGAGGAGAGGTCGAAGTTGTCAGCCATGGCTGTGGGGAGAAAGTCCATACCCGAGGAGAGTCAAGCTTCCATGAGAGCACTAAGAATGGCAGGTCTGAGCGCATGCGGAAACAGATACAGCGCAAACGATACGGTAAGCGAGAGGATAATTGTGTAATGTAAAAGTGATAGGAACCTTTGCCTCCTAAGCGAGAGGATAATACATAAAACTTATAACTATAACGGTTTTATCGTAGAAGAAAGAAGAGAAAATGGTTGATTACTTCAAGGATAGTCAAAAGATTAAATAATATTTTATTATCTGTCGAAAAGAAATAGTTACATCTTTATTTATAAAGTTTCATTCAAAATTCACTAGGATTTGGACTCTTAATAATAAATAAATAATAAATAAATTTTTATCCGATTCTAATTGAACTAAACAGATTTTATAAACATTATTCAAAAATTTAAAAAATAAAATAGTCATAACAAATCAGTTTGCAAACGATAAGAATGCTATTTAGAGTTTCCACTTATACAAATGATAATTAGCTAATGATAGATTAATAATTTAGAGTCTAATGAGGGTCAATATATATAATTTTATATTTAAATATAGGGAGATAGATTATTTTGAACTGATGTCGGCGAATATTGTTAGAGCTAGCCCCAGGAAATTTACCACAAGGTAATTTTGGCAACCCAACAAAGATAATAAATCAGAAAGAATAAAAGCGACAAGAACACCAGATATACGTGGTTCGGTCAATTGACCTACATCCACGGACGAAAGAGGAGCAAATTACTACTATAAAAGAGGGAACGGACGAAAGAGGAGCAAATTACTACTATAAAAGAGGGATACTTACAAATGCCTTAGGAAGATGTTCCTAGGCCATAAAACACCTTCAGCTTACTAAACAAGAAAAACCCAAACTGTAAGCAGGTTTTCTTGTGGTGCCTCTTGTGCTGCCTGTGCTATATCTGACTTCAAAGCTCAGACCCTTATTTATAGTTCCAATACGAGACAACAAGTCTGATTTTCCCGATGTGGGACTATGGGACTTGCCAAACTAACAAATCTCCACCTTGGCATGTCCCAACAAAACTTACTCCACTTTCTTCATAACAGTCCCAACGGGTAATCACCAACAATGAACACCAACCAAGTCCAAGCACTGCTTGAACTTATAAACTAGTAGAGGCTTCGTAAACATATCAACTGGATTGTCCTTCGTATGAATTTTCTGAACAAGGACTTTTCCCTCAACACTAGTATCTCATTTGCATCCAACAATTTTCTTACCCAAAGACGGCTTCACAAGATCCCAAGTTCTATTCTGATGAAGAGATTCTATTTCTTCATTCATCGCAATCAACCACTTAGCGGAATTATCACAAGAAACTGCATCTGAGTAGGAAGTAGGTTCACCAACTTCACTTGTCTCTTTTGCAACAGACAAAGCATATGCAACCAAATTTGCATATCTTTGTGGTGGTCGAATATTTCTCCATGGTCTATCCTTGGCTATGGAATATTGCTCTTCCTCTTGATCATCTACATCAGTAGACTCGGGACCACCTACTGGCATTCTTTGAGTAGAAGAGTTCGACTTAAAGGAATCTGAACTCCCAATCTCAAGCTTCACATGCTTCTGCGCACTATCATTTGTACAACTTGTAGATTCTTCTTTGGAAGATAACATAGATAATTCATCAAAAGTAACATCTCTATTAATTATAAATTTTGGGGATTTGGGATTAGAACACCATAATCTGTATCCTTTCACCCCAGAAGCATATCCAAGAAAAATGCACTTTTTAGCCCGAGGCTCTAATTTTCCTTCATTTACATGCATGTATGTTGGACACCCAAAAATTTTAAAATCAGAATAATCAGCAGGAGTATCTGACCAAACTTCATCTGGAGTTTTAAAGTCAAGTGCTGCAGAAGGAGCACGGTTGACAATGTAACAGGCCATATTAATCGCCTCTGCCCAAAAGTTTTTTGTCAACCCTGCATTTGAGATCATACACCTTGCTCTCTCCAAGAGTATTTTGTTCATACGTTCGGCCACACCATTTTGTTGAGGCGTCTTCCTAACAGTGCGATGCCGAGCAATTCCTTCATTTTTGCAGAATTCATTAAAGTCACCTTCACAAAATTCCATGCCATTATCTGTTCGAAGCCGCTTAATCTGTTTACCTGTTTGCTTCTCAATCAAAGCCTTCCATTGTTTAAAGGTTAGAAAAACATCATTTTTATGCTTCAGAAAATAAACCCAAACTTTCCTGGAATAATCATCAATGAAAGTCAACATATACTTGGCACCACCCTTAGATTGAACATGAGCTGGACCCCAAAGGTCTGAATGAATATAGTCAAGAGTACCTTTTGTTTTGTGAACTGCCGGAGAAGTGAAGCTGACTTTTTTCTGCTTTTCAAAAATGCAGTGTTCACAAAAATCAAGTGGCCCAGTACTCTGTCCGCAAAGTAGACCCCTTTTGCTCAATATGCTCAAACATTTTTCGCTCATATGACCCAAACGCATATGCCATAATTTGGTGGTGTCAGAATCAGACAATGATGATGACGAAACTGCAACCGAACCTGTGACAGTAGTTCCCTGCAGAATATACAAGCTACCAGACCTATAAGCTTTCATAACAATAAGGGCACTTCTAGAAACTTTCATAACTCCACATTCAGTTGTGTATTTACACCCAAGGGCCTCTAGGGTGCCTAAAAAGATGAGATTCTTTTTTAAATCAGGAACATGTCTAACATTAGTGAGCGTCCTCACAATACCATCATGCATTTTAATTCGGATTGTGCCTCTACCAACAACATCACATGCGACATTATTGCCCATCAAAACAATTCCACCATTACAAGATTCATATATGGAAAACAAATCCCTATTGGGACACATGTGATAAGAACAACCCGAATCTAAAATCCATTCATTTTTAGACATCGTCCTGTCATCAATAGCAGAAAAATATTTCCAACATTCTCATCAGTTGCTACACTAACTTCAGCGGATTCAATAGTTTTCTCAACAAAATTTTCCTTTTGTTTTAATTTATTTTTTCAATTTAAAGCAATCAGATTTAATGTGCCCCATTTTATGACAATATCTGCATTCCAAATTTCTATGTCTGGATTTAGATCTAGATTTAGATCTACTAGTGTCAAATTCTCTTTTATCCATTCTCCCCCTAACAACCATACCCTCAGCTTGATTCTCTCTACTTTCCCCAGTGATATTCCTGTCTATCTGCTCCTTAGATTTCAGTGCAGATCTATTTCTTTTCCATAAATCAAAGTATCACGAAAATGCTTAAAAGATTGGGGAAGAGAACACAAGAGTAACAAAACATTATCCTCATCATCAATTTTTGCATCTATATTCTCCAAATCCATAACCAAAGAATCAAACTTATCAAGATGTGAGAGTATAGATGTACCTTCAGTTATCGAAGCATATATAGACTCTGCTTCAAGTAGAGACGATTCTCTACTGTCATCTTCATATACAAGGCTTTAAGCTTGTCTCATATGCTCTTAGTCGTAGTCTCCGTAGCTACCTCCCGTAAAACCTCGTCAGAGAGATTTAGAATGATGCTGGATCGGGCCTTCTTATCCATACCCGCAAGATCTTCCTTTGACGTACCATCTGGAATGTTCTCAGCACCCTGAAGTGCCAATTCAATTCCGTCTTGAATCAGAATGGCCTCCATCTTGAGTTGCTACATGCCGAAGTTGACATTTCTATCGAATTTCTCGACAACAATCTTTGTTATTGTCATCGTTACCAAAAGATCTCAAAACCAGGCTCTGATACCAGTTTGTTAGAGCTAGCCATAGGAAATTTATCATAAGGTAATTTTGGCAACCCAACAAAGATAATAAAGCGGAAAGAATAAAAGCGACAAGAACACCAGAACACCAGATATACGTGGTTCGGTCAATTGATCTACATCTACGGACGAAAGAGGAGCAAATTACTACTATAAAAGAGGGACACTTACAAATGCCTTAGGAAGATGTTCCTAGGCCATAAAACACTTTCAGCTTACTAAACAAGAAAAACCCAAACCGTAAGTAGGTTTTCTTGTGGTGCCTCTTGTGCTGCCTATGGTACATCTGACTTCAAAGCCCAGACCCTCATTTATAGTTCTAATACGAGACAACAAGTCTGATTTTCCCTATGTGAGACTATGAGACTTGCCAAACTAACAAATATAAATTTGAATAATATAATATGTTATATAATTATATATTTATATTTTTAAGATTTTGTAATAACACATATCTTAAACTTGAATTTAGAGGTAAAATCCAGAAATCACTTATCATGAAAGGATAAACATTAAAAGTTGGCCAAAGTTTTTGGCATCAAATTTTTTTTTGGGCTTCAGTTCAGAATTAAAAAGAATTTTTTATTTTTGGCACAAAGTCAAGGATATGGGTTCTTACCTAAGCCCACTAATTGACTAATGCTTGTCCCCCTAAAGTCAATGTTAAGTCTAAAAGAACCACTTGGGTTATTGATATCCACCAACCCTATAAACCATGACAATAAGTCAGCCATATCGAGCTTCCTAATCTATGAAAGAAGAAAAAGAAGATGGCTTGTTTGTGTTTGTGCCACACATAATTATGTGTGTATGAATAAGATGGCTTGTTTGTGACCCGATCCATTAAGGATGCATGTCGACAGCACAAGCACTCACCGTTCCTTCACCCCATACATCATCATGCGAAGTCTCTCGGTAAAGAAGCACTGAACCACCGCGAACGTTATGCATGATGTTATGGTGGAATGGCCATTCGCATCACTATTATTTGCTCATCATGTCTTATATGAACATCATCAACAAGTAAAAGTTAGATTCATCATTTTTGTGTCACTTTTCATCTATAAAAATTTTTCTGTCAATTTACAAATTCTTTTTTGTTTTATTCTATTTTTGTCTGTGCCTTTTCTGGTTTGTTGGGATCAGAAGGGGGTGATGTGGGTCGTCTTGGTATCGTACCCCGCGAGGCGGCTCTTGGAGTTCACGCGGTAGATCTTGAGCAGGTCGGCCGCCATCTGCCTCGCCGCCGGGGAGCACCCGCTCTGCATCAGCAGCAGCATCTTCGTCGCCCCTCCCTCCGCCGCGGCCACCGCCTCCACCGCCCGCCGGTCCCGGAACGCATGGCACACGCTCCACAGCACCGCCACCGCCGACTCCGCCCCCTCCCTCCCGGCCTTCACCATCCTCGCCACCACCGCGGTGGCCGCCGCCGCCCCGTCCTCGCAGATCGCCGCCCGGCCCTCCGCGCACCCCGCGGCCGCCTCCATCACCCGCAGCGCCTTCTCCGCCGTGGCAGCCGGCGCGACCGCTGAGTTTGCCATCAGCACCCGCGCCAGCGCTGGGACCACCCCCGCGCGGACCACCCGCGGGCGGGCCCGCTTCGCCGTCGAGATCCTCGCCAGGCATCCCAGGCCCGCCTCGACTGCCCGGCGATCCATCGCAGCTCCCTTCTCATCGGATGGCTCGATCAGCCGGACCAGCTCTCTGATAAGTACCTCCTCGGCGATCAGGACCTTCGTTCCCGCATCAGACGCGGCGATGATCGCGTCAAGAACAATCGCCGCGTCAATTCGCGACTCCAAGCCGTTGCCATCCCTCAAAACTCGAATCAAAGCTGAAACCGATCGATCGAGATCGGTGCAAAGATGGGAGACCGCGATCTTCTTGTTGCTCTCTTCGACGAAATCGGAGGTCAGGATCAAGGCGAGAATCCTAGCCACCTCCACCAAGCTCTCCAACTTGAAATCTCTTCCGAGGAGAAGAGACACGAGAACGGAGGCGCAGCCGCCCGCATTGACGAGGTCGTTCTTGTCGGTATCGTCGACGTTGTCAGCGGAGAAGAAGTCGGCGAGCTTGCGGAGCTGGGGCACGAGATCGTCGTCACTGGTGGAGGAAGAGGCGGAGCGGAGCTCGCGAATGATGCCTCCGGCGATGCGGCGGGAAACGAGAGGGGTGGGGGAAGCGGCGGCGGAGGCAGCGGAGGAGGACCAGACGTGGATGAGGCGTTGCAGGGTGAGATTGGGGACGAGGTCGGTGGAGGGGAGAGGGAGCATTGTGGCCGGACACGTGGTGTTTCCGGATTCAAGCCACCGTTGGATCGAGGCGCGGTCGTAAGTTACGCCGGTACACAGGCTTACGGGTGACCGCATCACGTCCAGCGATATGGGGCACCGGAACGGGCTCGGTACCTTCACCTGCAATCCCTGCTCCAGTCTCTCTTGCTTCCTCCTCATCATAATATTTCCCTCAATCCTTCGCTTCTTGTCTCTTTGCTTACAGGTGTTCGAAGAGATTGCAGGAGAACAGTTCTGGAAGCATATATGATGTTGGAGGAGGTAAAGGTAGGAAAGGTAGAGAATGCCTTCTCTACTACATATACTACTATTATTCCAAAAGATGCGTTGAACGGGCAAGCTGGTTTGGTCTTTGGTCAAATGTGGATGATCGGAACAAAGGTGAGGAAAATGTTGGCTCGGGGTGGGCGAAACAACAGTAATAAATGTAGGAGAGGGACAGGGTGACATTTTTTTCGTGGATTTGTCGTAGGCGCTTAAGCTTTATATTGGTCGATGGCGTTTTGCTGGTCTTCCCAAGCGCAATAAATATGGGAGACTTGGAAACGGGCCAACGCGGACAACAATCACGTAGGAGACGGGCCCCACCTGTGCAGAAGAAGGTGCACGCACGCGACTTTGGGCTCTCGAGGACTGGTTAGTGGTTGCTTTCCTTTGACACGTTTGGTTTCCGCGTTCTTATCGAACAAGTTTAAGCTTATCTGATATCATTCCTGTTGCAGTCATAATGAAAGTTCAAGATTTCTGTTTGGGGGTGATAATTCAACTTTAAAAATTAGTTTTTTTTTTGTTTTAGTATATAATTGCAACTTGTCCTTCATCATGGATTTTTCTTGGCTTTTAATAGGAGCTTAGCTTGGGATTTGGCGTGAAGCTTGCTGGTTTTTTTTTCTCTTGGTCAATCTCTCCTTTGAGTCTTGTGCTTTTGGGAGTCAAAATAACTTATTTTTACAATCTAGAACCGAATACAGAAAAATAAATGGAAAATCTTAAGGAGAAGTAGGTGAAGTTTGACTAGGTTGCAGCTTGTGATTTGACAATTGAACATGATTGTAGTTTTCCATGGAAAATTTGGATTGATGTTCACGTTTCAGCTACAGTCGAGCTTAGAAATGATTTCTGTGTTCGTTTTATTATTTAGCTGAACACAATATTACGAAGCTTAATTGTATTCCATCTCACAAGAGCTAGAATTGTAAATTAAACAATATAATTTAAAATGAAGTCCTATGCCCATATGTGGATTCCAAATCATCCTTAATTTGCACAGTGTCAATAGGCTTCACCTGACCTCTAGTATAAATCCTCTGGTTCTCGTCCCCTAATATGTCATATATTCTGTCTATTCTTGTCAGCTGTTGTTTTTAATCCAATCAATGCAAACCATCCATTTAGGATCATGTAGAAATCCAAAAGTTAAAGTCAAGTTCCAGCCCTTCCCCAACATATGTTCAAAACCAGTGGACCTTTTTTTGTTGAGCTAGATTTGTTCATTTCATCTTCAATACTTGCTTAAGCCTTAATCATCTGGTCATCTCGTCTCAAACCATTAGTTTTTGTTTTGCTCTCTTTTTTTGCATGTCTTTTACCCTCAAAAGTTGAACTATAGATTTTTTCCTTGTAAACATCAACGTGCAACTGTATGATTTCATATATAAGCTCTATCACATACCTAACTACAATTTCAGTGAGGTTTGATGTATGAGATCGTCTCAAATCAGTACCTAATGTCAGCAGAGTTTTCTCAACATCAACGCATGTCCCAATATAAATCATGAGTAGCAGTCCTTAATTGACTATGAATTAAAATGTTATTAAGTACAACTGTAACTTAGTCATTCTTTTCTACTTATTGGGGTCAAAATATTTAGGTGGTATTCCAAGTGTTTCCGCTTTCTTGTTGGGAAGCTTTAAATGAAAATTTCAAGATCACTTAGTGTAGTAGTCCCCACCTACGAGTTTGGTTCAAGGTTTCTAAGATGACAGCCTTGCTCAAGCTCACTCACTGTGAACTTCAACGTTTTCCCATCACTGATGACACACTTCAAACGTTTTCCCATTTGACAAGTCAAAGGCCCAAGTCAATGAAATTTTTGGTGCTTGGTTGAAGGATAGCCCACGTCTCAGATCAAACTTCAGATGTCAGTTGGCTTTTATTTAAGACGAGCGGATGACATGGGAGTCAAAGTCCTTGACCATTTCAAAAGTGGGCCAGAAAACAACTGTAAAAGTCTAACAGTTTGACTTGGATTCCACCAAATGTTTTAGAAGTAAAGTAGTACTGATATGACTATTCACAACTGTAGACATCCTTTGACTTGGATTCCACCAACTGTAGACATCCTTTGTTATATTTGCAAAACGTACTTTAAGGTGTATATCCCTGTAGATATGACTATTCGCATTTTGTGTCATCTTCCTATGGCCGACACCTCAACCATTGCACTACCATCAACACCATCCAACCATCCACCTGTCCATCTCCACACCCTCACCAAATCATGCAGGCTAGAAAACCTACAGAGAATGACTGATTGCTAGTGTCGGATATTTGGGTATTTTTACAAGCTTTAGAGTTCACACCATCCATCCATTCATTATTGTTGCTACTCTGTTGACCCAAAGGTTTTGCATATGGATCTCGGAAAATGGAACAAGCAACAACATTATTTATCTGAAGGTAGAGAAAAGCTAACATCATATTCCCCTTGAATTCTCTATTTTGTGTGGAGATCTATTATGCAACTTCCACCAAAGTTGATGTGATCATCCAAATAAACCCCATAAAGTTTGTGAGGAAGAGGCTAGTTATTGGAAGCTAAGGGCTAAGATTATGTGATTCAAAGTCGATGACCATGTCCATTGGAGGTTCATTTTCTATGAATAATTTAAAATGTGGTATGGGATTTTGCCACTGTAGCAACTATTGGCTCAAATGGTTTTTCTATTCAATCCTACGACACTGCATGATCCATGTATCCGCCTGTCTCGTGAATCTTTTCATGCTTTCTAACATGGCCATCTTAATCTTTACTAAACCAACTAATTCATAGTTATTGCACCAAAAATATTTTTCCTGCACAATTTTGTTTATCCATCAGAAAGGGAATTCATGCATGAATACCTACGTCCTTACAGCCATTAGTACAAGTACCACAAAGATGGTGTGGTGCTGAAGGTAGATTTTCAATAGGCTGTTGAATTTGATATTATAAAAATACATTATTCAAACTGCCTCAAAAATGGGGCTTTTGACAAAGTTTGATCAAATTAATTTCATCAGTCCTTGAATCACAGAAACTGTTGTGTTCTTGACCTGTGTTCTTGGCAAATGGTTGTTATGTCTTTGGAAGGATCCGTCTTCCTGTTTGCCCTAACCATTGATCTAGAGTAGGATCCTAACTTGCATTAGAAGAAAATTTTGTTAGACGACTTCATGGAAACATTGTTGAGAAATGACTTTATCATATCATCCAATATGTAAATTATGGGATTTATTTTTATTTTTTGCCAAAATGGTGTAAATTACTTGCTAAAACTTTACCCTTATTTTCCTTCTTTATAAGCTCTTAACTGGCATGCATATAATTTTTGAGATGTGATCAGCCATGTCTTTCTTGCTGCATACATAGTGTACTTCGTAAAAAACATGTGTGATTCTTGGTGGAGTGCTATGAGTCAACAGAGACTCTCTTCTACCCTCATCAATGCACTGGCTCTCTCCCTCCTAATCATCTGACTTTTCATGGTTGCACATCTAAAAGTATTCAGCCATCACTGCAACCAGCCCTTTCTAGACGACTTCATCCATTCTTTCTCCACTGTTGCAAAGACAGTCTCAACTTTTGCAGCTGCCCTAAGAAGAAGATAGTATACACTGATTCATGATGCTCTGTGACGAGGCCTTCATGATTGTCTGTTCCACGGGGTGTGTGGTAGTGTTCCACTGTGCGCTTGTAGTGTAGTCAGCTACCATGAGAAGTGGAAGAGTCATTTTATCTACCACGAGAAATGAAAGAGTTAGGTTTTTCCTAGTCTTAGAATAAATGACCATCGAAGAATTGTCATTCCACTGATTTCTCGTTCTGCTAGTTGTGGTTTTAGATATATGTCAGACATTCAAGCCATGCTCTTAGATTCTTGTGAAATGACATCTGAATCACCATTAGTGTGGAAGTAGGGACTAGATTTGCTTGTTGAAGCTCTATGTGGGAGATGCTTGAATCGTGTTTTATTTGGAATTACGTTTTGTCCAATCACTTGATCACTCCCATTCATCATGCCCATTGCCTTTCGCTGAGAGTTTGTACTGGTGGTTCCTTGAGAGAATTTGAGTTTCTTCTTTGCTTGCGCGTGTGGAGGCAACTGACTAGTTTGGATTGTGTCTTATACTATGAAATTCAAACTGTATGATTTACACATGACTTTGTAGAAAAGTTGATTTCTTTTGAGCCTTTTCAGCTGTTTAATAAATCTCAACAGATTTTTTTAGCACAATCATTCATTCAATATCATTAGACAAAAGTACAAGTTCATCTGGCACATCAAAAGAATTGTAAAGGCTCCAAAACTTCGATGCAGAAGTTAATCTAGAAAATTTGCAAGCTTATGTACTTCATTGTTGTTCTCCCTAGTTATATGACTCCACTTTATCACATTTACATTCACACACCAAGGATTGTTCTCTGTTTGGGATAGGAACTATATCATCAACAAACACACGAAAATATTGTGATACTCAACTGTATATCCTTTTGTAGTCCATCATGAATAATACAGAATTCTGACATTAACAGAAAGTCTGCAGCGTGAACTGTTTGTTCTCCTCTTATGCTATCATTCATAAAGATTATAAATACTGAGCTAAGTTTAGCATGAACTGATGCTTGTTATAAAAACTTATTCTTTCAGTATATACTGAGATAAGATTTGCCGATTGAACTTTCAGCCTCTTGATCACCATCTCTTTCCTTTCTTTGTTAGTTTAACTGCATGTTATGGCTACATAGAGATAGATGTAAAATGTCAGCTTTCAAGTTCGCAAGTCCTACTGGTTGCTATATGGATTTTGAGTAAGAAGCTTACAGTTAGCACATTCTTGCTTGGCATGATTTCTTTGGATGTTGCTACATGTACTATTTCCTTATATTTCTCAGTTTAATGTTCATGATGAGAATGAGTAGCATTCAGTGGCTGGTTATATCAGAAGATGTTTAAATTGGTTGCATAAGTTTTTTGTGCCGTAGAAATCTCATATCCCTGATTTTGACAGTTCAAGAAAAATCTAGACCTAGGCAGCTGTTGACTCTATGAATAAGTACACTTTTGATGACTTGAAACCAATTATTCTAATAGTGGATAATTTGGAATTGTTTAATCATTGCTGAAATCAGGAACTTTCAATTATCTTTCAGTTAGATGTTTCGAGTCTCAACAAGGTTTATAAGATGTTTTTTTAGTGATCAGAGAGAACCCTTCAGTGATTTTAGTGCTTGAATTACTATTGTCAGCAAAATGTTAGGTTTCAGAAACTTTCTGGTTTATGGCTCACAAATTACCCAAAAAAAAAAGAAAAGAGTAAACATGATCGATCTGTTTAGCCATTTTTCATACTAGTACGGAGTGGGGTATCATTCTACTGGAATCTGGATATGAAACAAGATGTTCATGCTTATCATGAAATGCTACATAGAGATAGATGTAAAATTTCAGCTTTCAAGCTCGCAAGTCCTACTGGTTGCTATATGGATTTTGGGTAAGAAGCTTACAGTTAGCACATTCTTGCTTGGCATGATTTCTTCGGATGTTGCTACACGTTCTATTTCCTTATATTTCTCAGTCTAATGTTCATGATGAGAATGAGTAGCATTCAGTGGTTGGTTATATCAGAAGATGTTCAAAAGGAGATCAGTTGTTGAATCTCATCAACACAAAATTGGTTGCGTAAGCTTTTTGTGCTATAGAAATCTCATATCCCTGATTTTGACAGTTCAAGAAAATCTAGACCGAGGCAGCCGTTGACTCTACGAATAAGTACACTTTTGATGGCTTGAAACCAATTATTCTAATAGTGGATAATTTGGAATTGCTTAATCATTGCTGAAATCGGGAACCTTCAATTATCTTTCAGTTAGATGTTTCGAGTCTCAACAAGGTTTATAAGATGTTTTTTTAGTGTTCAGAGAGACCCCTTCAGTGATTTTAGTGCTTGAATTACTATTGTCAGCAAAATGTTAGGTTTCAGAAACTTTCTGGTTTATGGCTCACAAATTACCCAAAAAAAATAGTGGTAAACATGATCAATCTGTTTAGCCATTTTTCATACTAATATGGAGTGAGGTATCATTCTACTGGAATCTGGATTTGAAACAAGATGTTCATACTCATCATGAAATGCTTTTGAACAGCACTTGATCCTTCAATATCTCAATAGGAGATACAATATGTTAGTGTTTCAGGTGACTGTAATGGATTTCTGCAAGGTATCACTATATTCTGACAAACTTGTGTGTGTTTCTGGGTGAGCCAACTTCTTGATGTGAAAGCATCACCTGCAATTCCATTTCTAATCATGGGTTTTTAGAAATTGTCCAGATTTGGTTTTACATCTGAAATAATTGTTATAGGTATCTTTAGGCAGATTCTGTTTCATGAATGGTTTAAATATATAGTTTTTAATAAATCTCAATGATGATAAAAGATTTATATAGTCGATCCCAAATAATTAGAATTTACATCTGATTAGGGTAGCATAGCATGAGACACTGAAAGCATAATCCTTAAATTATGAAGTCACTCCTCATGGCTTCTTGGAGAGATGAACTTGATCTCCAATGCTTTCCATCGCTTTCATTATCTGCAGGGGCCAAGCTCATAATTTTGACATAAACATCAAATTAATAGAATGTTTATTTCTTGTCATGCTCGCCAGTATCTTATCTTTCCTGCTATGGTCAGGAAATCTAATGCCTATATGGAAAGTCCACGTAGAAAAGTTGTTCGTATGATCACTAGTGAAAGACTGAGGTTGTAGTCCATATGTCATGACCTCTACGGTGATTGAACCTTTCTCCACTCTTTCGTTATATTTTCTTCGTCTTCTCTACACATCTGGGAATTGACTTAGCAGATCCCAGCAAGCTCCCGGAGAAGGAACAATTGGAGTCGACAAGAAACTATTACTAGGACTTGTTAGGAAGGCTTTTCCTCCACTGCTGCTGCTGCTGCCGATAACTGGGCTCAATTCCTGCAAGATGCTGAACACGCTGGGGTCGAACGATGGCGAGAACAGCTTCGGAGATATCGGCGGCAGCGCCCACGGCAACGGCGACAGGATCCCCGGGAACGAGGCGGGCCGGTCCAGCGTCGGCCACCGCTCGATCCCCAGCTGGTCCACGCCGTCGGTTCCCGCTCGGTCCCCCGCGTGCGTCGGCGTCGCCCGCTCGAACGCGGCGATGCGGGCGGCGGGGGAGAGCTCGCCGGTGAGCGATGGGTCGGCGGAGGAACTCGGGCCCGTGAGCCGCTGGACCAGAGTCATGAACTCGCCGGGCTGGGCGTGGATGATCTTGGGGGAGACGGCGTAGATGACGAGGGGAACGCGTGGCGGCGGTGCCACCGGGGGCTTCTTGATCTTGTAGGAGTCTTTGGAGACCTTGAGTGGGGTGGGCCTGGGGCCTTGGACCTGCCGGCGCGGCGATGGCCGGGATTCTGAGGGATCCATGGTCTTCTCGAGCAAGGCTGAAGAGTGAGGAGGCGAGGAAGAATCTGCACAAAACACGGAATGGCTCGCTGGATGGACAGCTTGCCGCATGCAGAGGCAAAACAGGAAGACCAAGATGGAGCTGGACGAACAACGTGCGTCGAGCTGCTCATTTAACATATGCGGAGGAAGTCATCAATACCGTCGTTTGGTGTCGTCGGATCATCTGACATGACCCGTTCTCTGTCAGATACCCTTTGACTCTTACAAAACAACATTATAAACATGCTCGATAATAACCTTTGGATGCTTAAGCTAGAAACGAAGAGTTTAGAGGTAAATACACACCGAGAGAGGGAAATATTGGCTTTCAGATGTCATCCTTGTCATCATCACGTAGATCGGGCATATTGACTCTGGAAATTTGATGAGCTCACTTTTCACTGGATATTCGAGTCAGATTTGAGATGAGAGAATAAAATGGATCTAAAACGAGTTCGAATACTTATGATCTAATCACGATAATAATCTACTAAAATAAAATTTACTAAGTGTTAAGTTGGACTTTCATCAGAGTCGTCTTAATCTAATAAATACTTATCCTCCGCCGCCGTCCTGTCCACGCCGCCCCGGCCTTCCCCGCCGGAGCTCGAGTTCGTCAAGCGCATCCAGCCCAAGCTGTCTGAGATCCGTCGGGCCTGCTCGTCGCCGGACTTCAGCAGGAGGGTGCTCGAGAAGTGGAGTCCCAAGGCCACCATCCGCATCGATCTGTCCGCCATCCGAAACGCTATCGTCTCAGAGGTGGACGAGGTCGGGGCGGTCCTCGATGTCGGCAAGGTCAAGGGCCAGAGCTGGAGGATGGTGCGGTGGAAGGGGGTGGAGGAGGAGGAGCAAGGGAGGGAGTGGGAGCCCATTCGGATCCTCAAGACAGGGCTGAAGGAGTTGGAATAGAAGAGCCAGTCCACGAGCAACGAGCTCGTCGAAAAACTGAAATCGAGCCTGGTGAGTTCACTTGTCTTCCGTAATAGTGCATTAATCCCAGGAGAAAAAAAGATTAACAACCCTAAGCATTCCATAAATCAAGAAGATTTGTCGAATGCTTAGGTTTTTTATTTTTCTTTTATTTTTCTGTAAATTATGCTCAAAGAATGAGAATTTAAGATTTGGGAGGTTATCAAGATGTGACAAACTTAGTAATTTTGGTTAACTGCCAAGATGCTAGATTGAGCTTAAGAAAACCATGGATTCTCTCCTGTATAACTGCAAAATCTGAGGGCATTATACTGGAACTACAATATGTAGAGAAGGCAACTGAGACATCTGATGGAATCATAATATTCCCTTGATTTCTCACTATCAATTGCGATGTGTTCAACTTCTTTATGTATATGAATTCTTCCGATTCCTTCTCTTTGTGGGGCTTCTTTTTTGCTATTTTTGCAGCATGTTATATCTTTTGCTAATAATTGATGCTTCACCATATCCAAATTCATTAGATACTTGATTTGCTGATAATAGTTGATAGAGGCAAAAAATTACTTTAATTTAAGCATTTTGAATGATGTGGGTGGTGGGGCTGCAGCAGTTGAGTGACAAAGAGAGGAGTGAAGAGGGAGATGAAGAGTGGAGTAGAGAGGACAACAGAGACCAGAAAGAGAGAGAGAGAGAGAGAGATGCTGCTTGTGATCCCTAAAAGTCCACGATTCTACCTTAAAAAACAATAAAATTGTCGCTTAAATAATGGAAAAAAGGAGATGCGGGTGGCCCAATTTACACATGGACTGGTGGAATACTGTTGGTATTGTTCAGTCTGGATGAAATTGAGTTCCTTTTTAGACTTTATGTATTGAGTTACTATGAATAAACCTTTTCCAAATCAATTTTTTTTTTGTGATTTGCTGTATGTTGATTAATCTCGCATACATTCCATCTGAAAGTATCATTTTTTATTTGCTGTTATCTTTGTGTTGCAGGGATCATTTGTGAAGGAGCGCCAAGAGTCGAAGGTTGGTTGTAGGTTGTCTTTTTATTTCTGTTATTTTATTGTTAAATGTCATATAGAATATTGTCCATTCAATATAGTACCTAATGCAAATGTGATACCTGAGCTTAATTCATTATATTATATGTTCGAAATTAGAGAATAGGGAAGGAAGAAGTATACTAGCGATAGAAAATGGAAGATATCTAACTGCACAAGGGCTCGTCTCTCCTCGTTGATATCTAAATGAGACTTAAGCTGAAGAATTCAACTAAAAACATGACTTAGATAAGCTCTAAAATAGGAGCTAAAAAATATGGACCCAAATTCATAAAAAAATTCATGTAAAAAATATTAAGCTATACCTAAAATCAAGGATTGAAATATCGTAACGTATCGGAGTTTCGACATTCACTCAGTACGGTACGATACTGTATACCTAACGATATACCGTTCGGTATATATATATATGTATATGTATGTATATATATATGTATATGTATGTATATATATATATATAATAAAATAAAATAAAAATTCGGCGACAAGCAACGTCACCTCTCTCTTCTCCCCAGGCGGGACGAAGTCGCCTCAACAACGTCACCTATATATATATATATATATTGACGGACCGGTATGTATCACCCGTACCGACCGGTATTATTCGAAATTGAAGACCTTGCCTAAAATGATAATTCAATCTAAGTAGGAGCCAACCAGACATATCTAAAACTTGACTATAATGTAACATGATTATGACTCACCTATGGAGAAGACTGAACAGCTCCTGCATCATTATTTGCATCGAGTTTAAAAAGAAACTTATTCATGAGAATTATAGTGCACACAGCAATTGTCTATTATTGTTAAATACTAATGTTTTTCTGATATATGAGACATGTCATTGATGTGCTAAAGAATCTGGTTATCTATTGCAGGAAGTTCCACCATTGGATCTACCTAAACTTTTGGCATATTTTGTTAAGCAATCTGGGCCATTTTTCAATCAGCTTGGAATACGGCAAGGTACACAAATTGTTTATTGAACCCCCACAAATTTAGGCATCTATTTAATTTATTTACCATTCATGTACATGCTTTTAACATATCTTGTTCTGTAATTTGGGCCAGCCTTGGCATAACCATCTTGTGAAATTATTTCAAATGGGTAGCCGATAATGCTGCCTTTGGATTTCAGATCTTTAAGCAAGCACATATTGCTTGTTTCTGATTTCAGCATCTACTTAAGTTCCAATTGATTCTTAACTAGTCTGCCTCTCCCTGATAAAATTTGTTTGAGCACAACTTTATGTAAAAATTTCGTAAATTATCATTTATATTACAATTTCTTTGTTCTCGTTTGCATGGGATTTATTTCTTATCCAAAGGGCACACTGCATAATTTCTTCTTCTATTTATTCTTGTAGACTTGCACATTAATTTTACTCAATGTGTTAACACAATCTTGATGGAAACAAACTCTAGTTTGTGTACAAATTGCCATTTAGAACTTTCTGCTTCTGTTGGAATAATATTAGACATGGTCTAAAGTTTCTTTAATCTGTGATGAAAAAAAAGGCTTAGACAACATTTATTTACTTGTTTGTAGCTATTAGTCAGTCCCCATTATGGAACAATGCAAATTTTATCTCCTTTTTTTATTTTTAATGTTTGATGTGGCTGAAGTAGCAAATGCTGAAACTGAGCTTGAACTGCTGCCTTAATGGTCTACTTCAGACAAAAGACCAAAGCTGAAACCAATATTAAAACTTCAAACCATGATTTCAGACATATTTCCTAATATCTGTTTTTAATCTGTTCTTGGATATTACACAAGATAACTTTGATCATGATCGATGTCTTCATAATTCTTATTCTCTCAGTTTTTAGATAACAGCTTCCACACCTCTGAGGATCAATATAATCTTTTATGATGGTAATAAGTTATTTGAAACACTGCATTGATTTGGACTGTCCCGTTTGTTTAGATTACCACCTTGACAAGGCAGTATGGATTTCCAACATGTATCACATGAGTATTTTAATTAGAATTAAGATGGCACTTTAAAAGTTTTGTTTTTGTTGAATCTGAATGTACTTAAGACATATATCATGAGGCTATCCAAATAAGATAGTTGAGTTGTTTTTAAATAAGGTGTGTACTATATACATTCTGTATGTTTGAGCACAATGCCTTCTTTAATTGATACTTGAGCTCCAGATGACACTGAACAAGAAAAGTATATTCTATAATGAGAAGCTTATGATTGCTTGTCTATGTTCCAGACTTGAATACTTTCAGCTTTAGCGTGTTGATTCTGCTTGTGTTTATTCAACAATTAGAACTGTATACTTCTGGATATTCTGTGTTCCAAGTGGATTATTGATGAGATTTTCTAATCTTTTACTGAAATTATATTTATTAATGTATTCATTTCCATTACTTTTCAGTGGTTGGTTATATAGCATCTCATGTTATGGTTTACTGGATGCAGATATATGTGACAAAATTGTGGAAGCTTTATGCAGTAGGCGCAAAGATCAACTCATGTATCATTCTCTTTCTGCAAAGGACACATCCTTACCTGGAAATGAGAACAGTGATGAACTTGATTTGAGAATAGCCAGTGTGCTCGAAAGCATGACCTTGGTGAACAAAATGGTAAAGCTGCGAGTTATCGGTGCCTTTAAAATGTGCCCTATTGAGATCCCCACATTTAGCTCCTATGAGAGCTTAGTTATTAGAGTAGAGATATGGACATCTTGGACTAGTTATTAGCAAATGTTTTCTTTAACCTCCAATACCAGTTTAGCTATTTTTAGACTCATCACCTATCCATAAAACCTCTCTTAATATTATAGACTACAGGAACTCTCAACCGAGATGGTGAAGGATTTGCCTTTGTTGAACAATTTATGTTTTCTCTAGAGATTCACTTTTCAAGTATTGAACTCGGTTTATGGTTGGACCAATTCGTGTGCGGTTCATCATTCTAGTATGTCGCATGTTGGTATGTCAAATTATCTATAATAATACAATTTGGAGAGGGACGAGAAGGAGGAGAAGGATGACGAAAAGAAGAGATGGAGACGACGGTGGCAAGAAGGTGGAGAGCGATCTAGATCGCGAGAAGGTGGAGAAAGGTCTATATTTTATTTTCTTCCTCATAGAAAGTTGTTTTGTTTCTTCTATACATGACCTAGCAATTGTATATTACCTAAACATTTGTGGTTCATTCACACACATATAATTCTATTATTAATGAAGATGTGGTAAAATAAATAAATAAAATAGTTGTTTTTTTTGTTTTTTTTATTCATGAGCAGCTTATCCAATTATAATGTTGGACATTGTAATAATAGTATTTATAAAAAATGTTTGAATAGACCTCGACTTGGGTTATCCTACCAACCCTATGTCGAAGTCTCCAAAGTGATATCGTGTCTCTCCCGCACTTAATATGTACTTAGTTGATCAAATTCGCTCGATCGTTCGATACTGGTAAAAATATGTTTTTATCTTTGTTATCACATAATTTGACATATTACTTTTACAAAATGACATATCGAATTCCTAAGTTGACTCTTACAAAATGACATATAGAATTTCTAAGCCGACTCTTACAAATATTTTCAAATAATCCTTTCAAATGCCATTCCAAGAGTGCGCGTTTGTCTTTGTCATCATATAATATGACATATCCATATGATTATGATATCGAATTCTTAAGTCGACTCTTACAAAATGACATAGCTCAATAACTTAAGTGAGTTAAATCCAAAGAGTTTAAAGGTAAGTTCGTACCTAAAGATCAAAGTAATCTTTTCAAACGGTCATTCCATTCCAACTGAACATGCTTATCATCATCATCATCATCATCTTGATCGGACAAACTTAGGTGTCCCACTAGAGATCAACTTAATAGTAGTAGCCCAATGATTCATGCAACTAAACAAAGATTAGCATCTTATTAGTGATCCAGTTCTTAAGAGGTGGCAACCATTAGGTGACATTGGTCAACATTAACACTTGTATCAGTATTATAAATCTTGCATGACTTGGCTGCAATGGAATTAGGGTTTCTCCAACTGTGATGGTGGATGCTGTCATAATGGTAAGCTTGGGCTCCTCCAAAGGCTTAAAATAGACCTCAACTTGGGTTAGCCTACCAACTCCACGTTAAAGTCTCCAAAGCGATGCCATCTCTCACGTAAAATATCCACTATCCTTCATGTGATCAAACAAAGATCAACCCAAACGAATATTACTCAGTGCAAAATATATTACAAGGATTAGCTTGATGTAGAGTCCAATAATTAAGATAGAGCTCACTTGAATTTGTACGGCCATGCATCAAAATAATTGTCATCGGACCACCTTCAACGATAGAATAATTCGCATGCACATCGTTCTCAATAAGTGGCATACGAAAGGAGGAGACCAACTCCACAAGAAATTGACCGCTGAATCCAATTCTACACCTTTCCCTCCCTCAACTCAGGGATTGTCCCAAACTTTGATTAGGTCACTAACACTTCAACATCATGAGATGGTGGCACATGGACATGAGAGCTCAAAACCCTAGGAAATTGTACGTGCTCACAGGCATTGGACTATTGTGGGTGTGGGGAAGACTCCAAGGGCACAACCTTTTCCTTTTGACACTCATTAACGAGCTGTATCCAATAATTCAGCACTACGAGACGTGTCACCTTTTGCTTTGCACTTACATGCTTTTGAGCCACCAAGAAGAAAGCCATGTTAGCATCACAAATGATTGAGTTGTTGTTATATCCCCACATAGTAAGTAGCATTTCATCTCGAGAGTAGGAACGATTCATCGGATTTTTTTTCTTAAACATTGAAATTTCAAAGTCACATATGTTTGAATTGTGAAATATTATCAATAATTATTTCGTTAAACATAAAATCGTTTCATCGATAATGATGCATCGAGTGATA